GGTGCCTTCTCAGGATAAATACCCAAACCATTTGTGAATTATTTCACAACTTACATGGAGTCCACCAGGCACTTGCTGCTGCATCTGTGGGAGCTCCACCTCAGTGCTCTCAGCCAATGAGGTAAGTCCTGCACCTCAGAGCTTAGCTCAATACGCAAAGCCTCTGGAGGCAGAGGAGGAGGTTCCCAGCCACCAGGCACCCACGGTAAGTTGTGAAACTATTTGCAAACGGCTTGACTGCTTGTTCTGGGAGGCTGTTGTGGTTATGGTGCTGGGAGTTTTCCTTTAAATACCACATTATAAGTTACGTGTGACTAGTCCTCATGTAACAGACAGTTGCAGTCACTAAAACTGCCCTGTTGACATGCAATCTAATTCTGTTCTTAACTCTTTTCATCATACAATCATTGTATAAATCTTGTATAATCATTATTCTTAGCAACCATAAAAACCAACACGTGGGAACTTGGCCAACATCACACAAGTTGCCTTCTCAGTTCATGCTGCAAATGACAAAATCATACCTGCCTAGGTTTCTGCTTGTACCTGCTGACAAAACGGCTGGAGGTTGTCATCTTTGGTAGACCTGTGTGGCAAAAAAAAAAAATGACTTTAACACTTTTGCATCGAAAGAAGAAATGGTAACTCAATAGGATCATTATGAGCTAGTAGCAATGTGCAGAGACCAGCAACACAACGCCGTACACAAGCATGAAAGGCTGCAGATTATAGGTCAGGGGTAGGCAATCTTCGCACTTCAGATGCTTTGGACTACATCTCCCGTGGTGCTTTGCCAGCATTATAGCTATAAGAGCATCATGGGAGATGTATTCCACCACATCTGGAGTCCTGAAGGCTGCCTACGCTGGTTCTAGGTTTCACCCTAGAGAGTGACCATACTGAATGCTGTTGGGTAATTCTTATATATATATATCCACAGCATGCGTTATGAATCATAATTGAGAATCATGGGAGGAGAGTAGACTGTTATGGATCAAATCAAGTGTTTGATTATTTGAATATCTTCCCCTGTCCAAATAGTCAATATAAATACGTGCACGCTCCTAAAGTAATTCACACCAGACACAAGTTTCAGGTTTTTGAAAAACTTCAGAATGTTTAATCAGGGGGGCGGGGAGCTCCTTATAAAGACAGAAATACATCATATGCAGAAAGCAAGAAAACAGAGATAACACTCAACAATTAGTTAGGTGTTAAGTGGTTTTATCTAATGCCAACCTACAAGGCATGATGTCACTTATCACAGGATTCTCCTCCGGATTCCAGTGCCATCTTGTTAAACAAGGTAGTTAGTCGATGGGAGGGGGGGCTTCTAGCAGCATTTTTGAGCAGTTAATGAACACAGCAGCCAGGTTAACACAGTAAATAATGAGCATAGATGCACAGAGTAAATAGACATTTTACTAATCCTAATTTACGTCCATAACAATGCACAAAGACATGGTCTTAAATTAGAGGGGCAAAAGTTTAAAAATAATATCAGGAAGTATTACTTTACTGAGAGGGTAGTGGATGCATGGAATAGCCTTTCAGCTGAAGTGGTAGAGGTTAAGTGAAGGAGTTTAAGCATGTGTGTAATAGGCATAAGTCTATCCTAGATTTAAGATAAGGCCAGGTACTAATGAAATTATTTAGAAAATTGGGCAGACAAGATGTGACGAATGGTTCTTATCTGCCATCACATTATATGTTTCTATTATTCAATGAAGCTACTACAACACCATAAAACCTTGCATTCTACACGAGAACTCATGGTATCACTGGAATCCACTTGCTATATAGATGTGATTATTCTTTTTTCTTCCATGTGGGTGCCATCTCTTTTTTGGCTTTGGACCAGCAACATTTCATTCTAGGTTAACAAAATATAGGGAGCAATCTCGTCTTACCAATCATGATACAGGTACTCAACCTAATATAATATTTTAAAAAGCGCCTCTAGCCTAGCAACCAGAGTAGATGTACAGGATCTAAACATTAATAACTATGGAAATAAAACATAAAAGCTAGCCTTTAGAGAGCTGTAAACTGTTTTGTTTTTATACCACAATATAATAAAGGACTTTATCATACAAATCCAGATATGCTCTCAACTTAAGGTGAGGTTACCAAGGAGACAATGGCAGTTAGTAGGATAGTAGAGAGACAGAGAGGATAAAGGGACACTATAGTCACCTGAACAACTTTAGCTTAATGAAGCAGCTTTGGTGTATAGAACATGCCCCTGCAGTCTCACTGCTCAATTCTCTGCCATTTAGGAGTTAAATCCCTTTGTTTATGAACCCTAGTCACACCTCCTTGCATGTGACTTGCACAGCCTTCCATAAACACTTCCTCATCTAAAGTTTATCCTTCCTTTATTGCAAGTTCTGTTTAATTTAGATTTCCTTATCCCCTGCTATGTTAATAACTTGCTAGACCCTGCAAGAACCCCCTGTATGTGATTAACCCCTTTAGGACACATGACATGTGTGACATGTCATGATTCCCTTTTATTCCAGAAGTTTGGTCCTTAAGGGGTTAAAGTTCAATTTACAGAGAAAGAGATACAATTGTTTAAGGTAAATTACATCTGATTGAAAGTGAAACCAGTTTTTTTTTCATGTATATTGTGTCAATCAGAGCCAGGGGAGGTGTGGCAAGGGCTCCATAAACAGAAACAAAGTGATTTAACTCCTAAATGGCAGTGAATTGAGCAGTGAAACCTGATAAGCATGATCTATACAGTAAAACTGCTTCTGGACATATGGACCCCAGTACTGCGTACAATACTCCAAGTCAGGTCTCACCAGTGTTCTTTTCAATGGCATGAGCACTTCACTCTTTCTACTGCTAATACCTCTCCCTATACAACCAAGCATTCTGCTGGCATTTCCTGCTGCTCTATTACATTGTCTGCCTACCTTTTAAGTCATCAGAAATAATTACCCCTAAATACCTTTCCTCAGAAGTTGAGGTTAGGACTTTATCAAATATTCTGTACTCTGCCCTTGAGTTTTTACGTCCAAGATGCATTATCTTGCACTTATCCACATTAAATGACAGCTGCCACAACTCTGACCATTTTTCTAGTTTACCTAAATCATTTGCCATTTGGCTTATCCCTCCTTATCAACCCTATTACATATCTTAGCATCATCAGCAAAGAGACATACCTCAAGACCTTCTGCAATTTCATCAGTCCAAGTACAGATCCCTGAGGTATCCCACTGGTGACAAGACCATGCTTCGAATATACTCCATTAACTACAACCCTCTGTTGCCTGTCACTCAGCCACTGCCTTACCCATTCAACAATATTGGAATCCAAACTTAAAGATTGCAGTTTATTGATAAGCCTTCTATGTGCAACAGTGTCAAAAGCCTTACTGAAATCTAGGTAATCTAGCAATGTCTACTGCACCACCCTGATCTATTATTTTAGTTACCCAATCAAGAAAATCAGTAAGATTAGTTTGGCATGTTCTCCCTGAAGTAAACCCATGTTGTCTCTGATCTTGAAATCCATGTGATTTTAGATGTTCAACAATCCTTTCCTTTAACATGGTTTCCATTATTTTCCCCACCACTGAAGTAAGGCTTGTTATAATGTGTGCGTGGCATGTGCTTGTGGTGTGTCCTTTGTGTGAGGTGTGTGCTCGCTGTGTGTCACATGCTTTTAGCGTGTACTGGCTGTGTGCTCTTGTGTAGTGCAGGAGGCAGTAGGACCATTCAGAGAGCACTCCCTTCATGTTTCTGAAGGCTTGCCAAGCAGCCTGGGGGGCGGAGCCTACCAATTTAAAGATCTTGTTCCAACTTTGTTCTCTAGTGTCCCACTTTTGAGGACACCAGGAACTGTCCCATTAGTAGTTGAGTGTGTGTGTCTGTGATCCGTGTCCTCAGTGACCTGGCTTGCTTGATTGGCAGGCAGTTTTGTGTGCTCTTGCGCCAGCAAGCCCTGCCAGTGACTACCCCTAACCCTAACCCTAAACCTACACTTACCCGAAGTCCTGAAGTCTCGAAGTTCCGAAGTGACGAATTTCAGAATGCCGAACCGAAGCGAATATTTTTCCCATGCACATCCCTATCATTAAGGTTTCGAGGCTGACGTTTGGCAACTCAGACCTTCAGCTCCCTCCACAGATTTTCTCTGGGATTAAGGTCTGGAGACTGGCTAGGCCACTCCAGGACCTTAATGTGCTTCTTCTTGAGCCACTCCTTTGTTGCCTTGGCTGTGTGTTTTGGGTCATTGTCATGCTGGAATACCCATCCATGACCTATTTTCTATGCCTTGGGTGAGGGAAGGAGGTTCTCACCCAAGATTTGACAGTACATGGTCCCATCCATCGTCCCTTTAATGCTGCCTTGAGATCATTAAAGAGATCCTCCCCTGTAGTTCTGGGCTGATTCCTAACCGTTCTCATAATCATTGAAACTCCACGAGGTGAAATCCAACATGGAGCACCAGACCAAGGGAGACTGACAATTATTTTGTGTTTCTTCCATTTGCGAATAATCACACCAACTGTTGTCACCTTCTCACCAAGCTGCTTGGCGATGGTCTTGTAGCCCATTCCAGCCTTGTGTAGGTCTACAATCTTGTCCCTGACATCCTTGAACAGCTCTTTGGTCTTTGCCATGGTGGAGAGTTTGGAATTTGATCGATTGATTGTTTCTGTGGACAGGTGTCTTTTATACAGGTAACGAGCTGAGATTAGGAACACTCCCTTTAAGAGAGTGCTCCTAGTCTCCGCTTGTTACCTGTATGAAAGAAATATGGGGCTTTCCTTCCTCTGGCAGCACGGAGAAAGTGTCCCAAAATGTCTGCTCACTTGCAATGGATGGTTATTCCAAACTCCTCAAGTTTCCTTATCAAGAGGAATAATCAAGTTTACAGCACGGAACCGAACAACCTTAACCCCTTAAGGACCAAACTTCTGGAATAAAAAGGAATCATGACATGTCACACATGTCATGTGTCCTTAAGAGGTTAAGGCTCGGAACTCATTCAGATACAATGGCCTAATACACAAGAAAACTGTTGGTGTAGAACCAGCTGCTGATGGAATGAGAGTAATTGTCATTCTGAAAAGGCGTGCAGGTCAACGCAAACCTGCTATGTCCTATGAAAACATAACCATCAACAAGAACTCCCGTGCTACTTTAAGCAGCTTTCGCCACATTATCTGCAAGAATAACTACAGGAAGGACCTCCGCATGGCTGCTCCCAGACGTGCAAGTGCTATTCTAAAAAGTCAGAAACCTGTTGTGGTGAAAAAGAAGCGCACCCGGACTGCCAAGACTGCATAACTTGTTCTGCGGAATGCTTCTACAAACCTGAAGAAAACAAAAAAAGACAAATGGGAGCCAGAAATCTTGCTGATTCATAGGGAATCAGATACTTATTTCACTTATTGACATGCACATCAATTTATAGCATTTTTGACATGCATTGTTCTGGATTTTTTGTTATTCTGTCTCTCACTGTTAAAAGACTCCTACCATTAAAATTATAGACTAATCATTTATTTGTCAGTGAGCAAAAATTCTAAATCAGCAGTGGATCAAATCCTTTTTTTCCCCTTGCTGTATAAAGTATAATACTGTCTCTGTGGGAATCCTCTTCATCATGCAATAGATCAATTTGAGTTTGCTTTTCAACAGCTTTCTTTGTAATAAATGCCATAAGTCTATGTTTGAGAACTTTTCTGTTGTCATGATAATACACTAGACAAAAAGGACTGTTCTTAACATATCCAATAAAAATTTCTCTCTCTCACACTTTGAATCTAACTGCTTCCCATCATATTTATATACAAAACATACTGACCCCAAATTCTTAATTATAGAAAGGTTAGGTCATTTACCCGTTAGCAGATAATATGGAGTTTGTTGTTACAACATCTGTTTTGGATCTGAGCAGTAGTCATTATTGTGTATGTCCATAGTTTCTTTGACAATTTACTTTTGATTAACAGACATTTTGCCGTTTTAAATCGTGTTCTCTAGTTTCTCTCAGCAGTACCATTTTGATGGGGCGAGTAAGGTGCTGAGGTCTCCTGTCTAATAATTTGTTTATTTGGTAGTGACCCCTAAAACTCTCAGCCATGAACTCAGTACCATTGTCAAGCATTTTATGTTTTATTATGAGGCAGTATCGGCAGAGAATTCCTCAGCGGTTAACACCTCATTACTTTTCCTTTTTAAGAAGTGTACAAATACCGTTATCTTTTGCCTCAATCAACTGCAGAGGTTTAAATATCCCATGTACGAGGAGGCTGGCACTGGTAAAAATCCACAAATGGGATGCAGATATTGCATTTTTTCAGGAAACACATTTTGCAAGAGGTAAAAATACAACCTTCTCATCCAAGGTGTTCCCAACAGGGTATCACTCATGTTATAAAGCTAAAATGAGGGGTGTGACTCTTCTGAAGCAGAACCTCTTAGATTTCTGTTTGCATAACAAGAGTACTGACAAAAAGGTCCGCTTCTTGATCTTACAATGTTTTATTAACATTAAATCTCATACAAAGAGTGCAAACTTTAGACCATACCTGAATTGTGACTCAAAACTATATGATAAACTGATTGGCAGATTGTCCTCTATAATCCTTTCCATTATTCATTTCAATGATCAATTCAATGATCAGAGAGGTTTTGTTAAATCCAGACAGGGCTCGGATAATTTGAAAACTCCTCAATATCATACAGACTTTACAACTACACACTATGCCAGGGATGTTGATGGCCTTGGACGCAGACAAGGCCTCTGACAGGCTAAACTGGCAACACATGAAACTAGTTCTCCAACGTTTTGGTTTCCCCTGTGCAATCATTTATGCCATTATGGCACTGCTATTTCTGGGCAAATTCTGTATGCAGGGCTCACATAGGAACCATTTCAAATTTCTAATGGGACCAGACAGGGGTGCCCAAGAATTAGCCATAAATATTACTATTCAGGAGGATCAGATGCTGCAGTCCTTATATACATATGACTAGAAACAGAATAACATCAAGTATCTGTATAGTGAAATCCATAGAAGAAACCTATAACCGCACAGAGGAGGCTGAAACTTATCCATTTGTTATATTTTATAATTTATCGTCTCATGAAACAAATAAAACAAATTATATGTGTAATTGGGAAGAAGGTCTGTAGAAACAATTCCCACTTAATGTTCTATGGAAAATCACTAAATGTACCAACCACAACCTAAATGTACCCACCACAAATTGGTTATGAGATGGTATATGACGCCTGCCAAGCTTCATCCCTGCCCTCACAGTTACTGGCGTTTTTAATCTGGGGTTGGTACTTTAATGCATGTATGGTGGTCATGCCCTTTGGCACAACAGTTTTTTGTAACAAATCTGCAGTTTCATAAGGAATCTCTGCAATCTCAAACTACGTTAGCTCCTTAGCTCCCGGAGTGCCATTTGTTTTTGATGCTGCCTAAATATGTCCCATATGGAGCTCGGAACTTGTGCATATACATTTTGCAGAGCAGAGTTATCTTTTTCGATAGAATACCAGGGATAACGGATATAACACAAGAGGTTAAGGCGGCACTGTCAATCCCCTCCATCCCCCTGAAAAATGTGCATTTCTTAAAGATATAATCCTTATGACTGTGTTGTAATTTCACACATGTAACAGGTTTACTTTAACAATGCAAGCTTTTTAATGATGCTTGGCATTGTCAGAGGACATTTTTACTCTCTCCACATTAATCCACCTCCCTAGATAAGCAGAGTTCCATCTGAGCGGCAGCGTATTCACAGTGCAAGAGGGCAAGTTATGATACGTTGCTTTATTTAATAACAGAGCATCCTAGCAACACACATTGGCTTTTGATTCCGCCTAGCTCCTGAAAAGACGTTAAGGCACTTTTGGTCTGATGGTATTTGCTTTTACAGATATTCCCCAGATAAAGAGATACTTGAGATATTTTCTTCAGCTGTCTTTCGTGTCATAAAAAAAAGCCAAGCAGCAAAGCTTTCGCACCCAAACAACTTATTGTTCTAACATTCATTTCACATTAACAGCAATAACAAACATCTAAACACGGAATGTGATAACAGACAAAAAAATGATAAATACACCTAGTTTGCTTAGTTGCAAGCTGTCTTAAAGGAACACTATGTTCACCATAACCACTACTGAATGCTGTAGTGGTTATGGTGCCAGGACTGCCCTGGCATGCTTTGAAGGTAAGCAGTCAAACGGTTTAACAATTTACCTGGGGTTATGGTTACGGTGCTTGGAGTGTTTCTTTAACCATCAAGACCAGTTGGTTTTGAGTATTAATTTAAATTAAAGTATTGGTTCTTGTAGAGAAAAATTACCCAAAGTGTTACCTTTTCTTATATCCCTGCAGATAGCACATTGCTCCATGTGCCTTTATTTTGAATAGTAAATTTAAGTGCCTAAACATGTTCGTCATGCTATGCCATGTGAACTCTGTATCAGGAATTACAGTATATTTGGACTTTGCTCATTTCCTAGTGCACGTTTATACAAACCTAGGTGCAGAAGTCAGACAGATGTGTACCCTGGACCTTAAATAATAAGAGAACTAAACAGGAAACATGGCAAAGGTTAGCGAATAACTAAATTATAACAAGGCAAAGGTAATATAAATTCTAAATTATCACTTCTCCTGAAGAGGTTGTGAACTGCTGTTGATACAGTTGCGAGGTGATAGCCATATCAATATTACGGGAATTTTTTTAACTGCCCAATTATCTGGGTATAAAAGCCTTAGATATGCTTAGTGTGTTCTTACAGGATTTCTGACATCACTCATTTGGCTGAAAAAATCCCAATAGACAAGACTGCATTTTTGTCCTTTTTTTATGGCTGTCATTGGATAAAACCATCAGCAACAAGACATGGCGTTTTATTGAGTCAGAGGTTCAGAACAGGAGGATAAATGAAGCAAACAACCCAAAAAGTCAAGGGATAGAGTCAAGTTCTACCCCATCATCTAACATTCCGCCATCTTTAACCAGCCACCACTGGATGTCATAATGCTTCTTTAACTATCACCAGATTTTACACTTCAGAGTCAATTCAGACTCCCCATATGCATCCATGGTTTGTAACGCCTATTGTGCTCCATCAACACATTTCTGGAATTTGGAACCAGTTTTGGATGTACCTATACTGGAAACTCAAAAGCAGGAAATCATCTTTTTAATCAAACATCATTTGATGACTTTCTGGCATTAGGTAGCAACATATATATTGCTAATTTTGCAATGGCACATGCATAAACCTTAGCCACTTCTCACCACAATCAAACCATATTTATTGGCTCTGCCTCGGTATCCAGGTACATTATTACACCTGTGGTGTAACTCCTCAGGCAATATAGAGACAATGAAGAACATATTTGGTGAGAGGGTAGATTTTTCTGAGTTAACGATCTGGTGTTATATGTTAGTGCAGCAGTTGCAGCATGTTTTTGCCATTAGGTGGTGTGCCATGTGATTGTGGCAGCAAGGACATTGAATCTCAAATTAGGTCAAATGAGGAATTCAGTGCCTCTTCTGTAATCAGGGTACACTTTTCTGATGTGGCTGATGGAATTCCATTTATATATATACATATATATATATATATAAAAAAAAATGTTTATCTTGGCACTCACCCTTTCAAATGTGTAGCTCAATATCGCCTAGGTGCAATCCCATGTAAACAAAATATATAGAGGATAAAGAGATGCACTCTCAGGACTTGAAAAAATAAATAATTTATTCCAGCAGGTATAACATCAAAGTTTGCCGACGTTTCGACCCATTCGGGTCTTTCTCAAGGTCCTTGAGAAAGACCCGAATGGGTCGAAACGTCGGCAAACTTTGATGTTATACCTGCTGGAATAAATTATTTATTTTTTCAAGTCCTGAGAGTGCATCTCTTTATCCTCCATATATATATATACATACATATATATATGTATATATATATATATATATATATATATATGTAGCCATAAAAAGTCTATGTTCTTGTTCCCCTCACTTTTTCCTCTTCATCATCATGTTATCTCTTCCCCAACCCCAACTCTTTCTATAGTACTTCACTGTCCACTTTATGGTATACACGACTGTTCCCCAATATCCCTCTCCCCATCTCAATTTCTCCACTTATTTATGCACCGTCTTTTACATACAATATTCTACTTACTTCTCTTACATTCTCACGTTTCCCATTCCATTTTCATCTTTTTATTTCTTTTTCCCTTCATTTCCTAGGAGTGTCTGTCTGTCCCTACCTTGATGTGTGATGACTCATGTTCTCCCTTGGTGTAACAATTCC